GAGAAATCCCACAAACCAAGACAACTATCAACTGCACTCAGTTTCACAATGTAATGGGGGGGGGGGGGCTTGAAAGGTAAAATGAAGTGAAGCTGGGAAGAGAAAACTGTCTTCCTGCACCCCCAAAATTGATTGCATAGAGTTAGAGGAATGTCTGGGACAGATTTTAGAGGAGAGGGGCTACCGGAGGAAGAAAATACGCAAGGGGGTTTCCTCACATACTATACTGGATTTCACCCATTATTCTGTTCCAAAATTACTTTGGAAAGATAGCAGCATTCCTTCATCACCTCCCCTCTGTAGTCCCAGAATCAGCTTTTTCTCTCTAGAAGATTGCCATCCTAGACTTCTGTCATGCTGTCTCCTCTTGGTAGCTCCAGCTAAAAATATCAGGGAATAAAAGATAGGAAAAAGTTTCTGCCTTGTCACCTGAAGATTGTCTGCCAGTCAGAGTAGACAACACTGGCCTAGACTGACAAATAATCTGTGACCTAGTATGAAGCAGTTTTCTATAGTAATATTCTGCAATCAAAATGTAATTTTTAGGCTGTAATAGTACACACAATACCTGGGAGTAAGCCTAAATAGGAGTTCCTTCTGAGTAGGCAACTGCTGGACTGCAATGTTTGTTAGCATCCCTAATTACTTCAAGTTATATAGGCTTCAGGACAAAGATGCTGCGGAGTCACAGAACTTTTATTAATTTCTATGTATATCTTAGAGGCTTCCCATCTACATGTTCTCTTCTTCAAGCCCATAATCATCTGTATCTCAACACATTCTTCCCATAAAGGTCCTGAGTCTCAGGTGGTATCAATTTAGCACAGAAAAAAAATCATTAGCCCTACCAACAATGGTCTAAAACAAGCCCTTGAACATGCTATCTTGCCCTTAATCCCTTTTCTGAAAGAACAATTTACTGGCAGAGACCCCAAAAAATTCATAGCACCTTATGATCTAAAAATGTAGACAGAGCAATTCTGTCCAGAAAAACCATGAGAGGCATCTTAGAGGTGCAGCACAATGCAAACCTTATATAACTGAATAAACTAGTGAAATGTTGCCACCTTTGTTTTAAAAACCCCTCATGGATAAGCTTATTGCCATCTAATGCACTTTTATTTTGAAGGAAATTAGGTGGGTGAGTACCCGGAGGAGGGCCTTCTCTGCGGTGGCGCCCCATCTGTGGAATGCGCTCCCCAGAGAGGTCCGCCTGGTGCCGTCATTATTTGCTTTTCGGCGCCAGGACAAGACCTTTTTATTTAAATGTTATTTTAATTGATTGTTAAATTATTTATTGCTTTTCTCTAACTCTGAGATGTTTCCAATTCTGTATATTTTTGTATATTGTTATTTATTTGTTGGAAGCCGCCCCGAGGCTTATGCGAATGGGGCAGCATACAAGCACTCCAAATAAATAAATAGATAGATAGGTAAATATTTTCAAGGTGCCTGGATCCTGTAAGTAGTATTCAGCTATCATGATTAGAAAGCATTGAAAGAATTATCCTCCATGAATTTTGTGCTACCATTTTAAGCTAAGTTAGAGGCCACCACCACATCTTGGGGTAATATGTTCCAATACTTAATTATCTACTGTATAAACTACAGATGAGCAATCTGTGGCCTCCGGATACATTTGGCTTACAACTTCCATCATCCATCACCATTGGTTATGCTCTGGTTAGAGGTAATGAGAGTTGTAAAACATCCAGAGAGTCACAAATTTCTTACCTCTGATCTATGGAACATAATACGGTGCATTATATTGTGTCCAACATTTGTTCCATCTAGCCCAGTATTGTTAACACTAAACAGCCACTGGAGTTTGGGCAGGAATTGTTCCAGCTCTATCCAGATACCTTCTGCATGCAAATTATGTGTTCTACCACTGATCAACCACCCTTCCCAGCATTTCTTCTTGTGTGCCTTCAATCTAGTATTACAAGAAAGGATAACAATTCTCTCTTTACCCAGATTCTTCACCCTGCACAACCACAGCCCTTTTTTATAGGAACAAGTTAGTGGTTTACTAAAACTCATACAACTAATCCAAGGAATAAGTGGAGCTTGAATTCGTGTTCCTTAGTTTTAACTATCAATCCAGTAAATCACACTGGTTTGCCTAGAGGACCATCCACCGGGATTTCAGAGTGTTTATCATACACTGAAGAGGTGAAGTGTGTGCGGTGGGGAGGGGGACAAAACCCTCAATTGTTTGGATTATGGAACTCTGTTGTGGAGTGGGGTGGAGCAGTGACCTTCTTTGAAGGTTTACTTTTTTTAAAAAGCTCTTCAAGAAACAATAGTTGAGCATATGAAATTACCCAGAAGTATAAAGGATCCTGCACTTGATGGGGATCTCTTCTAATTTCAGTCACAGAACTCCTGAAGATTATTTCTTCAGCAATCATTGCATTTGGATTGCAGAGTACACTACTGTCAGACATTCCTTGCTGAATGGTCATGAACAACCCAACTGCTTTTGAGAAGCTAGGCATATCTCCATTTACAATTATGTAAGAAAGTAAGTTAAAGCCTTTATTAGAAATGGAAAGAATTTTGTTGCCAACCAATTCAGTTGGATTCAAGATTCAAAGGAAGAAATATAACTGATATTAACACTGCTAATGCCTTTGAACAGACTGCAAAACAAGCAGCACTTGAGATATTGAGAAGGTGTTTTCAAATAGTGCAGAATACAATACATCTTCAAGGAATGCAATCTGGACAGTCTATCCCTCCTGCAAACCTTTGTATGACACATCTCTTTATGCTTTCTTCTCACCTGCTTCAGGTCTCTCCATCTTGTATGGAAATACCACAAAACAAGAAACAGTTGAACATATAAAATAGTAGGTAAAAATATCTGTTTTCAGATTTAAATCATCAAAAAAGGTAGAAGCTGACAGCTCAGAAAATGAGGCTGACATAGCAAAATGAGCTTTTTATGAGTCTTATTTCTTTTCTCTCATCTCTTTTTCTGAATTTGAGTGCTCTCTGTGTTTGTGTAATACTGTGGAAGAAATTAAGTTCAGAATACATAATATCTTCCTTTGTTTTACTGTAAAGTTGATAGTTTCTTCTTCTTTCTGCTTTTGCCCACTTCTCATAAACTGCAGAAATTAGTATATGCTAAATTCCTGAAAGAAGCTTGTACCAATAATTGTTAAAACCACTTAAAAGTAATTTAAATTAGTAAAGTTGTCTGAATAAACTATATTTTCAAATCTAATATATCAAACACACTGATTATATGTATATAAAATTATATGTTATATGTTATAGTTATATGTAAACAAAATTTATGAACCACTGGAACTTGTCAGGTCTCATCCACTTAGCTATCTACACACAACCTACCATGCAACCCAAAGTTGTCAGTGTTTCCTAAAAACTCACCTCAGCTTAACAGATAGTTAAAACATTTGGCTTGTCACCTGACCCTAACTTGTGTTGTTATTGTTATTAATTACATATATATCCTGCATTTTTCCTTTTGCAAGGAACTGGTGGACTGTTCAGTTATAAAACTCTCCAAACATGTCACCAACCCGCAAAAGTACTTAATAAATACTTATGGATTTATATAATATGCTATCATCTAAATATGTTCATACATTACATTAGTGATCTTCACAGTAGCCTTAAGGTAGCCAGGCATTATTAGGATTGCTGGGAAAGGTGGGGGGGTGTTGAGCTCAGAACCCCCAGCAGCATGCCTAATGCCTGATATTGAGCTTACAGCATATGCATGAGTTGAATCACAGACTTCCTGGGTCACAGCTTAGTCCCTTAGCTATTATTATGTTATGCTAGTCTATCTCTTGGGGCTGTTGTAAGGCAAGAGCTGCATTCTGAAAATAGAATGAGACACAATATTAATTACAGAGGAAGTCTCCCCAAAGACCCATATCTGCTTGACTTCCTGCTAGTGAAAATCAGAACTCATTGTGGAAACATTAGCAATTTAAAATATTTATGTTCCACTTTTCCACCTGCTGACAGGCCTCCAAGACAGCTTACAATTAAAGATAACTGACATTTCTTTTCTTTAAAAAATATTTATCATACGGTGGCAGTGATGATTTAAAATGATACTGTGCTCTGATGTACTGAACCCAAGGCATGGTCTGAGAAGGCATGATTCAGCCACCTTGCTGAAACTAGGCAGGTCTGGGTCACCATCACCTGGCAAGAAATACCACCCTGGAACCCCAGATACCTTGCTTTGATTTCCACAAGGAAAGACAGAATATAAGTATACTAGAAAATTGAATTAGCTACTGTTTACCATGACAGCCCCAGCACTACCTTCGTCAAGCACACATACAACGCTCGATCCCCATAAAGCAGCTCTGCAGGGTTAGATTTCATTCCCACGTAATTCGGCACTTTGCTTCCAGTCGTGGCCTGCCCGGTCATCCAGGCAAACGGCACGCGAAGGCTACCCGCCACCCTCCCGCCGCTCTTGAGCCATCAGCAGCTGGTCTTCAGAAATGCACTGCTTCTGAACATGGAAGCTCTACTGAGCAATAATAACTCAAACACGAGGTCCTACCCATCCCAAGCAAACATCATCCTAGCCAGTTTCACTATCACATTTCCTGCGGAGTTTTCCCCACAGCCGAACCTTTACCACACGGCAGGCTCCATTACACTCCAGTCTGCCAGCCCGGACAGAGAAAGAGAAAAAAAGAGGGAGGGATCGAGGGCCAGCCTGGCCCCTTATCATCCAGGCCACAGCACAGCCTCTTCCCTAGCCCCCTCAGGGCTGCGCTCTCCGGCCTCAGCCAGTATACCCCAAAAGCCTCCCAGGCCGCTGCCGCCGCCCCACGGGCCCCAGACACACCCAACCGGCGAAACACCGGCGAGAGGGAAGCCGGCGGGTCACCTTCCCGCGGCCCTGGAGAAGGGGGTCCCCGCCGCCTCCCGCCCCTTCACCTGGCCGCCCCCTTGCCACTGGCCAGGCTGGCCTCGGTTACCCGGTCCCCGCTCACCCGAGCCCGTGGTGGCCGCCATCTTGCGCCGCTGTCGCTCGAGCCCGGCCTCCTTGCCGCCCACGTCACCTCAACGCGGGAAGTGAGTGGCGGCGGTGATAAGTGGCGCGGTTATGGGGCGGGCGGGCGCAGGATAGGAAAACGAAACGACGCCGGGTGGGGGCTGGCCAGAGTCTGTGCAACGGCAAGGGATTCTTTTTTGGGTGCATGTACTCCGTTTGGGTAGTCGATAAGATCGGGAGGGTGAAATGTAGGCTCGGTTTTCTGACGAGGTATTTGAAGGTATTAACAACAGAAAGTTCGCCAAGGAAGCCCAGGATGCGAGGTGGTAGGGTCGGGATTGTTGTTGTTATTTCTCTCCTTCATATCTTACCTTTTCTTCTTCCTGTAAGGAACTCAAAGTGCCTTGCACAGTCGTCTCCATCTTCTCCTCACAAACACCCCTATGAGGTAGGTCACACAGTGAGATGCATGGCTTGGGTTGGGACTAGGATCCACATCCTCCCCCCCAGTCTTATCCCCACAACAACCCTGTGAGGTAGGCTGAGCAGAGAGTCTGTGACTAGCCCAAAGCTCCATGGCTGACCTGGGATAAGGACTCCTGAGTCACAGGCCCATGTTGCTAAGCACTGCACCACACCGAATGTCAGCCTATTCAGAGGTTTTCTCCTGCTGGAGCATGAGGACGCTCAAGCAGCCTTTTCTGAATTCTGTCCATGACAACCAGACCGAATCCACTATTTATCACTTAAACCCTTGGAAGGACGCTTTGCCGCAGCAGAGTTAATGCTAAGCGGTAGACTGCCGTTTTGCATACAAAAGGCCTCACCCAGGGCTGAGAACGACTCCTATCAAACTCTGGAGAGATACTGCCAGTCAGTGTAGCCCAACATGGTGCTCTTAAAATGTTTTGGACTGAAACTCCATCAGCCCCAGTCAGCATGGACAATAGACAGGGCTTATGGGAGTACTAGTCCAATCATTTGAAGGTACTAGATTGCTTACCCTTGGTGTAGACAATTGTGATCTAGACCAGGGTAACCAAGAAGCCCCTACTAGTATAGTCAGAAATGTTGGGAATTGAAGTCCAAAAGCGACAGGAGATCTTCTTTTTGCTCACCACCAATCTGAAGAATTTGAATCAGTTTTAAGAAATGTCCCTGTTCCCTAATTTTTTTTTCTGCATCATGGGTAGCTACAGCATACATGCACATCCTTAGGTATGGTTTTTGGGTCTTGCTAGAATAGACTGGAACCTTGGGGAATAGCTTTTATGTAACAGGAAATGTTGCATTGCACTAGTGCCTTTTCATTGCGATTTGTAAGGCTTCATGCAAAGAATGTGATGCAATTGGGGCACCTTGCAAACTGAATCAGGAACAGCCTAATAATTTCTGGGTCCTGAATCAAACGAGTGTAACAGTAAAATCCAGTAATGCAGATTGTGCTTAATGCTGCTTTCTCTTAAGTAATCCTAAATAGGATTGCAGGCTGAACCTGGTCAAATGGGACAATTTTCAGCATTGTCATGGTGACAGCCACAAGCTCTGCAAAAACACACAGCAGTTTCTTCCCTGTCAAATGATCCTTGGTGTGCTCAAATACTGATATATTTATGGGCAGTTCCAGGCAATGGTGATATTTGGCAAACAGAGGCTGAGTAACTTCTGTTGGTTTAGATTTTTTTTATTTAGTTAGTTTTGTTATCCCTGAGCACTGCTGTGAATTCCAACTCATATGAGTAAACGTGTTACACAAGTTCCTCCTTCATTTACAGGTTCAACAACATCAATCCTATCTGCCTTATGTTATCCTCACAACCCTTCCGAACTTAATCTAAGGAGGATTGGGCCACGGCTTTGAACTTGCATATCTGCAGTTTAATTCCACTCTAACCACTATACCATACAGCCTCTCAGACTTGGGATGATGGCAGGGCATAACTGAACCTTGCCCATTTTGAAATAAATGCTGAGTGTCCCCATTTCTGCCATTGTCAAAAGGAGATTACTTGGGGAGACCTTTGAAAACTAAACAAGATTAATATATGCATGACTAAGCAGAAGAGATTCTAAACCTCTGCTCTCCAATAAATCTTTAGACAATAAAAGGTGCTAACCCTCTGGGAGTTCTCCTGCCAAACATTCTCTTTGAATGTTTGTTGTGCTGTTCCCATCAATCTTAATGGGGCTTGCTCAAGCAAACTTCCGAGCCTACTGGGATTGGAGTCAGTTTAGCTCTCTCTGTTGTAGGTTTCCAAATTCTAAGCCAGAGGTATTATTTTATTTATTTATTTATTTAGAATATTTATATGCCGTCCTTTTGCAGAGCCTCAGGATGGCTTACATAAATAAATAAGAATAATATAAAACATGATACAAATAAAATTCCAGATCCACCCTGGCTGCAGATTAAAACAAATATAGCTAATATTAAAAGTTATTAACATATTGTTGGAATAAAAAGGACTTAGCCTGGCGCCGGAAAAAAAAAACTTTGCCTCCTAGTATCTTTCACGAAGGGTTCCCAGAGGAGGGCCTCTGCTGCCTATCTCAGGGGGTGGGAGGGCATATATGGAAGAAGGCATTCCTTTAGGTATCCAGGTCCCAAGCCATTAAGGGCTTTATAGGTAATAATCAGCACCTTGAATAGAGCCTGGACTTCGATGGGAAGCCAGTGAAGCTGGTAGAGGACTGGAGTTATATGAGAATAACGCCCAGTCCCCGTCAGCAACCTGGCTGCTCTTTTTGCACCATCTGAAGTATCCAGACTGTCTTCAAGGGCAGCCCCACGTAGAGCGCGCTACAGAAATCCAACCGGAAAGTAACCAATGCATGTGTCATTGTCGCTAGGCAATCATCCTCCAGGTAGGCATGCAGCTGATGGATTAACCGAAGCGGAAGAAAAGCGCTTCTCACCACCGCAGTCACCTGAGCTTCCAGGGACAGCTCTGGGTCGAGCACTCCCAAGCTGCAGACCCTGTCCTTTAGAAGGAGTGCAACCCCATTCAGGGCAAGGTCCAAGTCACCTACCCAGCTCGAACCACCCACCAACAGGACCTCCATCTTGTCTGGATTGAGTTTCAGTTTATTGGCCCTCATCCAGGCCATTACCTCGGCCAGGTACCGGTTCAGTACAGCCACTGCCTCACCTGGATCAGTTGAAAAAGAGGTAGAGCTGGGTGTCATCAGCATCCTGATGATTTCACAGCCCACACCTCCTGATGACCTCTCCCAGCGGTTTCATGTAGATATTGACTAGCAAGGGGGACAAAATGGACCCCTGCGATACTCCATGGCATAGCTGCCATGGCGCAGAGCCAGAGTTCCCCAGCACCACCTTCTGGAATCGGCCGTCAAGGTGGAACGGAACCACTGCCAAGCAGTGTCTCCTACACCCAGTCCCGCAAGCCTATCCAGGATACCATGGTCGATGATATCGAAAGCTGCTGAGAGGTCCAGGAGAAGCAACAGGGATGCACTCCCCGTCTTTCTCCCTGCACAGGTCATCATACAGGGTGACCAAGGCAGATTCAGTACCATACCCAGGTCTGAAGCCGGACTGAAATGGGTCCAGATAGTCAGTTTCATCCAAGAGTGCTTGGAGTTGTCCCGCCACCACCCGCTCCAACACCTTGCCCAGAAACAGGATGTTGGCCACTGGTCTATAATTGGCGGCCATCTCTGGATCCAGGGACGACTTCTTTAGGACTGGCCTGACTACCGTCTCCTTTAAAGGAGTGGGCACCCAGCCGTCCCTCAGAGAGCACCTGAGGGATGGCCGGGTGTCCCTCAGATTGTGTGTGTTCCCTTCACAACTTGTGGCTGTCCAGATGTTGCTGGACTGCAGCTCTAATCATAGCCGACCAACATGTTGCTAAGGCATGGTTGGAGTTAAGATCCAACCATGTCTGGAGGTTCGTAAGTTGCAAGTGTAAGAACGTACCTTAGAGAGCATCTAGGAGGCCCAAGACATTTGGATTCCCAGTTTTGTTGGAAACAAAGCTCTGACCTCAGAGCTGGGGATCTGCATCAGTCCTCCTCCCACTTGCAGGTGGTCTAGAAAGAGCTGCGTCAGGGGGCACAAGGGATGAGGGGAAGAGACTGGGCCTGAGGTGTTCTCACAGTGCTCCAACCTCATTCCATCTGCTTCTAAAGCATCTCAGCAAGAGAGCCGAAAATGACCATCTAGCCACACTGTAGGGAAGTGCAGGGAGGTTCTCCTGCTCTGTACTGCAATGGCAGTAATTCTCCAAGTTCAGAGACTTGTGAACATCAAGGCTGCAACCCGCAGCACTACGTCCTTCTTGATCATTTCGACTTGCAAACATCAGCATGAAGAGTCTAGAATGGAAAAATTCACACCAAGTACTTGGCATAAATGGAAAAAATAAAAGTTAAGGAAGCATATATTAAAATATTAAAGATGAAAAAATGTAGGTGAAAGAAGCATTAACACAAACATTGCAGAGTTGGGAGAGGAATCAGTAAAGCTATATAGGAATTTTCCTCCACAAACAAAGTTCAACTGATGGAAAATATTTTCAATAGCTTAGATATTATGCACAAGATTCAAAATGCTGCACAGGGAATTAGCTTTACATAGCAAATGACTTTGGACTTGTATTCCTGAAACAGTACCTAATGGCAAACTACTTTTGAAATGGAGATACCTTTCCAAAGGTGCTTATGATGAGCTGTAGAGGGTCATACATTGATACAAACCTGTCACCCAGTTTAAGACCTTTTAGCATGCTTGAAGGAGGGATTGCATGAGGATTCCATTTGGGGATGAAGATTTTTCTAGTTTGACCCTGCAGATTTGTTCCATTTCATATATTATACACATGCCCTCTCTTGATGACACATAAAAACATGTGGAGAGAGGATCAAACTGCTAGAATATTTTCAAGACAGGAATATGCCACTGGGGGTTTACATAAGAGACTGGTGGACTTGTCAAAATCACCAAGAAAATATATATTTTAAAAATACAACACCATTTCCGCAAATGTTACAGTTGTTCTTCTGCTACTCCATGCAATTATTTTCTGGAATCAGACAAAAACAATTCAGCTACGTGCTCTTGCTGCTTACCAGAAGAGAAA